TGCAAAAGCAGATTTTATATGAATATTTAGATTTTTGGTTTAGCAGTAGTGTAAATAGTTGAATTGTCTGTTGTCGCAGGTTAGTGAATGATATTTTCGATAAACTACTCTACTAGCCTAACAAGAACATGTAACCATTGATCACAGTCCACATGATGTTATCACCACAAGCTAAAGAAAGAAAAGTCGCTAGCACTAATTAGGGACATTTCTTTCGTTGACTGGCCAGGTCACACCGCTTGGCCTGTGTGAGTGTGTTTTTACCTCATATCAGAGGTTTGCTGGATAAGGATTTGGGTCAATATAGCTCATTGTTTATTTGGATTTTATGTATCAAAAACCATTCAATAAATTGTGTTTTTCAGACATAGCTTTGAGAGATATTTGCAGTTAAGGTAACAAAACTGAGATTTTCTTTGACCAGATTTCCTTTGAATGGTGGCGATTGATATTTACTGTTTTATTCTAACAGTGCACAGCAGCCATCTTGATTAGCGCATGCTGTGGTTAGTGCTAATACTCACAGTCAGTTGCTGTTTGTGTGTTAATGGTAAAAAACAGCAATACGATGTTATGTCTGTCAGCTATCATTCTGCATTTGAATGGGATCAATGCAGAGTAATCGGATCAGTAATTGGAAATTAAACATAATCTGTTTGTTGTAACATGTGGATTAACTGGGATAGTTGCAAATCTATTGTCATCTATTAAAAATCTGTCTTACATATGCATAAATCTAACTGACTGCTACTTGGTGGCAGTCTGCCCGTGTTTAGAAATTATTCTGCGATTATTGTCAGTTATTATCTGTCTGAGAGTGATTGCAGTCAGCCCGAGTCAGCCCATGGTTGTTTGGTTACCTCCTACCAGCTGATATGTACAATCACCTTGTGATCAAAGTGGCTGTCCGGAGGTTGAAGGCCCTGCACAGACAACATCTGGTTGGTCCGTAACGACCTTAACTACTTCCCAGCAGACACTGGGAAATCACAGTTTTCCTAGTCAAAAGGCAAATGCCATGCTGTTTATACTCTAGTGTGATTGAGACATGAGTAAGGTGCATCCATAAACTATAATGGTACATCACACAGACAGGGATATCAAGACAAAGCTATTTAATGTAGTGCACTTTTTGGCACTCTAGCTTTAGCTTAGTTTTTCAGCCCTCTTTGGACGTATTTGGTAAATTTATGGTCAGCTGAATAAAATAAGCTTGTAATTCATTATATAAAGATGTGAAGGGATCACCGCAACCATTAGGATAAATGTGAGTATATCTACAGTAGTCACTGAAAACAAATGGACTGACATTACCATCAGTGTAGCCTAGTAAAAAAACAAGCCAAACCGTAATCCGTGGTTGTGCATTGTGATGTGGCTCTCTGCTGCTTCCTTTCTCAAATATAAAAGCCACCAAATAACACAATGTAAAAACACAATATTCAACACCACACGGCCCATTTTTGTTACGTCTGACCAAAATCTCCGTCTGGCCAAACATTTACTACGAACATTAAATTCACTCTGATTTATTTCACTTTCATTTTTAAAATCTGCTGTAAAGGTTTCAACAGATTGTTCGTAGTTAGTGACCCACGTCATGACATTCCCGGCCGCATTTTTTTCCGAAACCGCTGTACACGGGATACTGTGAGAAAACAGCGGGCCAAAACAATGTTTTTGAGCAAGAGTGATGTTTTGCCTTAACAGGCAGCCGAATGTCTCCCCTCGCCCTAGAATCCAGCTGTTGATTTCACTTTTTTAAAGAGGTTCTGGTCACTTTTTTTTGTCTTAAGGAAACTTGAATACATCTGAAAACGTGTTTGGACTGGCCGTTATAGACATTGTTAAGTTATCCTTTCATTAATGTTTCATAAACTGAAATATTGTTGTTGGCTTAGAGCACTCTTCACCAAGTTTTTCAGTGTATAGTCTGGATTCTATGGCGATATCTCCTTACAGCCTATAATCTGAATAAAAAATATTGTGATGAATATTAGGAATCATGATGATATCTAAAAATCGTGTAGAGTATTTCGTCTGGACCACACACTCCCACGAAGGTAGTATTTTCTTAAAGGTTGTCAAAAATATCTTAGTGAAATCAGAAGGATGTCATCTTGTCGTACAGAATATTCCTCTCTGAGGTGTCATGTGTCATTTCAAAGTGAGCAATAATGAAGTGACTGCCAAACACAGTAAACCCCCTTCTGTTTCTTTTAAAATACAAACCTATGGAGAACCCAGGGTTGATATGAACCACAGTAAAGTGAGAGTCAGGCTCCACCTGTGGTTTCATTCCTTAAACTTTGCCTGGACCCTTCACTGGCAGCAGCTGACATTATCCTGGAAAGGGTTCAAAAGGAGCAAAGTTGGAAGTGGAGGCTGAGCCAAGCAGTGGTATCAAATTGAGCACTTAGCATCATACAAAGAGTTGTGCAACATAATCCTGCGTTTTGCACCCTAATGACACATCTGGAATGTCATAAATCAGCCAAACACAGCATAAACAGGATTTTTATTTTTGTTTTGCACCATACTTACAGGCATGCATCTGGTTTGCACGCAGGGTATGGAGGTCAATTTCAGCAATTTAGATTCGTAATTAGTATGATTGTTTTGCATACTTGCATACTTTAGCTGAACATGAAAGCCTAGCATCAAAGTCATTTTTTGGAGCACCTTTTAATGCCCAAATAATTAATTCTGTGCTGTGCGCTTTCTTCAGAAACTTTCACCAATTCTATTTATTTTGCTCAATTCAGTACAGTTTTATATACAGCACCAAATCAACAAAAAAAAAACTGCCTCAAGATGCTTTATACTGTAACGTAAAGACCCTACAATAACACATAGAGAATTCCAACAATCAGACACACCTAAATGAGCAAGCATTTGGTGACAGTGGGAAGGAAAAACCTTCTCCTAACAGGAAGAAACCTCCAGCACAACCAGGTTTAGGGAGTGGCAGCCATCTGATTGGGGGTGAAGGGAGGAAGACAGGGAAGAAGATCAATTATAACTAAAATTTAAATGCAGAGCGGTGTATAAATACATAGAGAGTGAGGATGAGGTGAATGTAGAAGAAACTCTCAGTGCATCATGGGAAACCCTCATCAGCATAACTGCAGTGTTACCTAGAGAGAGTTCAGAGTCACCCGAAATTGTTTCATGACTGTGATTATCTTGAACCTCTAACATGGTGACTCAATGCAATTTTTTGATTAAATAGGGATTAAAAAAGAACTCATTAATTTATTGGCAAGATAGTGTGGCTGATATAGCGTCACCCATCCATCCTCTTACGCTTATCCTTTTCAGGGTCACCAGGGGGCTGGAGCCTATCCCAGCTACCATAGGGTGAGAGGCGGGGTACACCAAGGGCAGGTCATCAGTCTTCCACAGGGCTAACGCATAGAGACAAACAACCATTTGAACTCACATTCACACTTATGGGCAATTTAGAATGACCAATTAACCTAATCCCACTAACTGCATGTCTTTGGATTGTGAGAGGGAGCCGGAGAGATTCCACGCAAACACGGGGAGGACATGCAAACTCCACACAGAAGGGTGAAATCAAACTCAGGACCTTCTTGTTGTGCAGCAACAATGCTAATTACCACACCATTGTGCTGCCAGATATAGCAATATCTGCATTTATAATGGCTGATAACGTTCTTCAGTCATTTTATGGCTGTTGACGTTGCATATTATATCCACCAGTGGACACGTTGCAGTTTCTCTGTTGGCAACACCCATGTTTGAAATACATAACTACACAGAACAAGTGTTAATGGAAGTCTATCTATGTTTCTTGTGCCTGGAAAAAAATATCAGCTAATATATCAAAATATTGAATTTTTAAATATCGATAACAATATCGGTCTCAAAAATCCTATATCTGTCAGGCTTTTCTCAAGTTCTGCCTTTATAAAAACACTCCTTTATTATAGGAGTAGCCACTGATATGGCACATTTTCCACTGCCTGAGACTGATGTTCACCCAGTTTGTTAAGTCAGAATTTGGATGTTTTTGAGGAGACACACTAGCCAGTGTGTTTGTTCACAGCTGCTAGTCAAGCGTAAAGAATACCACTGCATACAAACACACTTCTCCCGACCCTGTCACGCAAGTACTGTGACCGTCAGTTCCTCCCCCTTGAAGGCAACTCAGGCTGTTAATAAGTCATTCGAACTGGCACTAGAAATGAGTTTAGTTTAGATTTGTCATACAATTAGTCCAGAACCAGCACAGACTACAGTGGCCCTGAGTTAGGTAAGGTTAGTAAATTAATAGAAAATAATCAAACTGTCGATCCTGGCGGCTGTGCAGTGCAAGTGAGAAGCTATATAAACATGGTTGCTTAATGTTTTCATGTTAAAAATGTTAAAATTCTGGCATTTTACTGTGGAAATGACAACAAAAAGCCAGAAACAAGAAAATTAGTTTTAGCGGCTGGTCTCATGAACAGACTAACATTACTACTTCAAAGTCATTTTATAAAGGAAATTAGAGATATTTACACTTTTTCTTCCTTTTTTTTGAAGCGTTACCTGTATTCAGTACGATCTAGTCAAGCCATCAACTTGTAAAACTTGGCTAAGCGTGTAATTGTTTTACTCCTCCAGCTGAGCTTTAGCAGCATGATAGTGTTGACAGGAAGATGGCAAACACAAACGCGCTAGTTAAGATAAACAATTTTCAAACCTGGGCATCCGTGCTGAAAGACAACCTTTAAAAGGAGAGAAAGAAATCAAATGACAGCATGAAGCAGACCTTGGAGTTCTTTCTTCCACCTCGACTTATGTCTACACGTACATAAAGCCTCAATGCTTAATAAGCAGTGAGGCTGGAACGTGTTTGGTTTTCCAATGTGAACTTTTCACATTGGAGGTTTTTCCTCACCCTGGTGTGTAAAAGTGAGAGCGAGAACACTTGTAGAATATGAAACTTACACAAACAAAATGACAATCGCATTATTCTTCTTTTTTTCCAGGACCTCCGGGAAAGCGGGGAAGAAGAGGCCGTAATGGAGACCCTGGTATGCACATTTGTGTGTTTGTGTGTTTGTCTGAATCTGAATCGAGTTTTCTCAATCCAGAAACGTTTAAGGAATGATTCAGGAGGACATTAGCAAATCGTGCTGCAATCATGTAAAAAGTACACTGTATATCTGTGGAGGCCAAAATAGGTTATAGATGTGTAATTTGTGGCTGGATGGTTTCAGCGTTCGCTTGGATTGTTTGAGCTGCAGTCGCTGCAGAAACACTGTATTTTCCCGGTAAAGCTGAGGGACAGAAAAAGTGATTGGAAACCTGGTGGAAGCTGCTGGTGGAAGCTGCTGATGTCCGTGCTTACGCTCAGCGTGGATATGTTTATATGCTGTCCCGAGCTCAACCCCCACAAACTCAGCAGCGACTTGTTATAATGTAATCAGGATCTCCAGTCTCCCCCTCTCCCCTTCCTCCATCTGTCCCAGCTGAGGCCTCGGGCATCAGGGCCTCAGCTGGGACGTGTCACGCAGTGACAATCCCCGGCACGGGAAGTGTCACCGCAAATTGAATTCGCAGCGAGAACACGTACTTGGCGCCGAGCTGCGTCCACGCTCCGCTCACCTGATAGCGGGAAGTGATAATGGAATCTGGAGTGTGTCGGCCTTTTGGTCGAGAGCACAGAAAACAGAAAACACTTTGGAAAAAAAAGTATTAGCTTTGCAAAAGGAAGGCAGAAAGACGGGGCGAAGCAAAGTCCCCAGCCTTAGTGAGGCAGACTGAAAAAGAACAGCTTTGGTTTCGTAGACAGAACCAAACACTGGAATTTGCACAGGAAGTCAGAGGAATTCAACTGAATCATTTGAGATCTGCTTGCTCAGTATTAGTATTTTTATTTCCTGTATTTTCAGTCGAATTAAGGCTGCTGCTTTTGTTTCGAGATGTGGATCTGCTATACGTTTCTTTCTTCTTTTATTTTTTCTAATTTGCAAATTACCATAGCGATCTTGCACACAGCCTGAAAGCCTTTAAAGATTTTAAAAATTAATAAATAAAAAAATAATAATAACAAAATGAGTTTACAGAAAGACAGCGGTCCAATGTTCCGGTTGGCTGCAGATCTGAGATACCGCCAGGCTTTGTTTATGCAGCGCTTAACCTCCCAATAAACATCCACCATGCCAGCGTAGTTTAAATGGCACCATTGTTCAGACACATTTTTTTTTTGGTCTCTGTTCAGCCAGAGCAAATGCGGAGAATGTGAATTGCTTCCTCTTGACAAATCAATTGGAAACAAGCAAGCAATCATGGCCACTCATGATGCCTGGGCTGGTGAGGTACAGCGGTCTATTAAGAATAGACAATAGGGAACAAATGTAAGGACAGGCCCCGACATTCAGTAGAATATTTGCAAACCGAAGCACTGACTGGATTGAAGTATCTTGTCGGGAAACAGATATAATAAGGATGTTTTATCTACATCCTCACGTGCACGCAGCTTTGAATGCTCTCGGTGTAATTGCAGATTGACACGCAGTTTTAGTTCAGTCATTTCTGCTAAATTCCCCCAAATAGGACGTGTTTGACTTGCTTTAAAAAGTAGATTCAGCCTGAATCCCAGAGAAACGCTCAAAACAAACTGCACTGGGGAGAAACTGAAAAGATATTTAAGAGACATTATTTATGCGACTGAAGAAATGCAGTCCTTGATGGGCAGGGGCATGCTGAATTCTGCACCGTAAGCCTTCTGCAAATCCAATTTCCCTCTTTTAAGTTCTCAACTCTGGTGGATGTTGAAGGGGAGCATATTTAATTCATGATTCACTTTAACCAAGAGAAACTATGCCGTCGCGAGTTTCCCATAAATTCATGCTGAGGTGTTTTGCAGTTTACTCATCTACAAAGGTAGGAGGAAGATTTCACCCACCACTTGGCTCCGCTGACAGAAAGAACAAATAGGAAAAAGAGACGGTGATGTTTACCTATGCATTAAAAATGAATGGGATACTTCATTAGGATCTCTTGTTTGTTTACCGCTAACATATGGAAAGGAAAATTGTGGCAGGACAGTTTAGGATGAAGAAGGTTTTGTAGCATTGAGAAGCCACAGGCTCAGACTGTTCTAGCAGGTGGTCAATGCTGGAAAGTGTTAGACGTTTCCTCGCATATTTTTTCCCCGTTTGAATAATCAGGTCTGTGACTCCTGCGCTCACAAAAAAAAAAGAAGAAGGAATTGATGCTTGGATTAGGTGAGCAGTTCCACTTTACACACGGAAAGGTTGAACGTTTGTTCGAGTGGAAGTCACGGTGTGAGAACGGAAAGCGAAACCGAGCCTTGGTGACTTTTACTGTGCATTATAAAAGACATGACACGCTACAGTGTCAGCTAATAGTGCTTTTTGATTTTACTCTGGCCGTCAAGAAGCTGTAACAGTTGTAGACCCTCAAACCTTTAAGGTGCCTGCTATGTTCTTTATCGGAAATTGTACCTTTTCTTTCCTTAAATCACACTTTTTCCTTTGATTTCTCATAATTACTAGCTGAAATACTTAAAAAACAACAACAACATAGTGGAGCAGGTTTATTAAAAACTAAGTGGTCCACTGTAACTCAACGAGCCATAAAACAAACGAGCAGTGAGGCTCAAACACGCGGCTCCTTAAAATCCCCAGCTGTAGGAGCAATTTGCAGTGGTCATGAAGAAGAAGCGTTCAAGGACATAGGAGAAAAAAATCCCTATTTCAGTGTTAAAGCAGCTGGGTACCTTTTTAATAAGAACCTGAAGACCTCAAATGATTTGCAGGGTTCTGGGGAGCCCTGAAGTGCGCTGGCACCGAGTCCTTTGAGCAGCAGTAATTGGGCAAAGGACGAGTGTCACCTCACAAAAAAAAAAAAAGTGCGGGTATTTCTTTAACAAGCACACAACCTCTTGTAGCAGTGAAATCGGAGCTACTCGCAAATGTAAAATGCAATCACCAGGCCTGGTGACTGTTGTTGGCCCCACCACGGTATGGTAAATAGCTGGGAGTCTTTTGTTCTCTGCTGTAAGGTAGAAAGATTACTGAAAGAGGCCGTCTTTCTCCCATTCCTCATCGTCAGTGAACGCATCGCGGCAAAGATGAAATGTGAAGACGGTCCTATCCAAAAAAATAATTCTCAGCTAGAGGCTGATTTCTGTTCTTAGTAATTCTGGATAAGTGGTTCCAGTGGAATATTGATGATCTGTGTCTGTTTGATCGCTGATTGAAAACACACTAACCAGGGATTTTTCCTCTCTCTTTTCAGGACCTCCTGTAAGTATGCCTGCTTCACATCGTTTGTGATGACCCCGTAAAGGTAAAGGCAGAGCAAAAGACATGCACAGAGGTGCAGACAGCATGCCGCTGTGTAAGGTATAAGAATACAGGGGAAAAGGCACATGCAGGGGCACTCGACAAGTGCAGGTTGGGATGGTATGTGTGCTGCAAAGAGCAATTTGTGTACAAGAAAAAGAAATGCAAGCAAGAAGAAGAAGGAAATGTTTGATATTTTAGGAAAGAAAGAACCAGGTGAGGTTTATACTTCAGGCTCTCAGGAAATAATCCTGCACATAATCCTCCTTAAAACAATTACACTGGGTTTAAACGCTGATATTTAGCATTGATTAAAGAAACGAGATGTAACGTGTTAATTAGGGAGTTTTGAATGATGGAGGTTTCACTATGTTCGCTCCCAGTCTTTCCCCTAACATAAGCTAAACATCTATGCAGATTTAGCTGATGGACATAACTGTGCTATATCATTTCATAATGTATCTTTGATAAGTTGCCTAAGTGCTATTTCTGAAATGCACTTTAAGGACAAAGTTACTTTTTTAAAAGTGTTTTTTTTTTTGCTGTTTATGTAAAAGATAACAAATCACAACACACTTGCTGACAGAAATTTCAGCAGCTGTCTCGCTGACTTATTAAAATAAACTCTTTATCACTGGCTTACCCCTATGAGGCACCCTCACCCGTCATCTGCGCAGCCTGCTTTATAAAATTCTCGCTACCAGCATCTGTCCCTGCCAGCGCCCTGAACCCGAAGAGATTATCTCACCTCATTACACCGCCGGGTGATCGCAGATTCGCTCGTCTTTCAGATGGAAAACCTCAGAGTTTCCCTAAAGATGAAGAGAGAAGCATACATACATACATAATCGCCAGAGCTTGTGACAGTTTGCAGCAAAAGCAGGTCAAGCGGGTACTCTGTGTGTGTCGGTGCGTGTGTGTGTGTACATGCGCGTGAGCTCTGTTAAAATTTTTTATATTCCAGAAGGCTGGTGTGATTGAATAGGTATAATAGTGTGTGCCGACTGAGCTGTAAAAGCTGTAAGTTAATCCTCCGAGCCTTCTCAGACGCTCGCTCCCGGGGTTCTGGGACATAAGTAAATGCAGGTGGTCTTACTCCTCAGCCCCTCGCGCCAGGCCTTAGATCTGACAAATAAAATCATACTGTGATGTGTCTCAACAGTTGATCGGAGTCCCAGAAGCGTCGCTGAAATGTTCGTGCAGTAGGAGACGGTGGATTTGCCAATAAACGTATGGGATGCTGCTATTACTTTATCTTTATTTAGGCCTTCATTAGGATGGTTCTTTGAGTGAGACAGTAAATCTGCTGTGCATGAGTACCTGACAGTGTTCCAGCTGTGGCCAACAGGTCACCTTCTGATGAAGTCATTTATAGGTAGCACAACATGCTCTAAATGTTTGGTAGGGGTCCAGCTTTTATGGCTCCGAGGGGGAAAAAAAGCTGTGATCTGGCAATGACTCACCCACTGCTCACCAAATCTGTTTCTGAAATAAAAAAAGCCCATTCTGGTGTCAGTGATCTCATATGGGTCTTTTTTAACATCTGGTATGGCCAACCGGAGGATGGCAGGGGACACGTCGGCATGAATATTCAGCAGTTCCCGCTATAACTCTGGGAACACTGCGTAAATTGTACACAGCCCTCGGAGCCAAACAAACCGACCGCTGCAGAAGTCATTACAGATCTATGTGCCTTAATCGTTACTAAGCTACCGATGAACGCACGGGGACCTGCGGTTTGCAGAGACAGAAAGAGAATAGGTCTCCTCAATCAAAAGTCATCAGGGAAGATCTTCTTTGGCGGCTCCTGATTGCCTTCAGATATGGAAAAGCGATTTTCTTTGTTTTGATTTCCTCGTCTTTTTCCAGAGCCCGCGCGCATTCGTCAGCTTTCACGTCGCAGACTCAATTGTCCAGCGACGTGCTGCTGGAGATCTCCTGTTATTCTCCAGACAGATTGGAAAAATGTTCAAATGAGACACCTTACAGATGATTTTCAACTGAGAGTACTTACACGAGGAGCGATTTGCCCGTCCTTGCCACGGAAACCCAAAAAAATTTTTCTTTTTCGGTTACCGCACATTAATATTCTCTGGGGTGGTGGTGGAGGGGGGTGGGGGTTCTGCGAATTGACAGCTGAGGCGAAGTTATCATGTCTTTCCTACTTGGTTTTTTATCTTTTCTCATCTTTCTGTGCCTCTGAAAAAGCCGCTTCATGTCAAAACATCAACCCCGAGCGCTCGCCACTCCGTGTGCACACCATTTAGTGCCAATCAAGCATAAAACACCATCCCTGAGGCTGCAGTCAAGTACCCACTAACACCCTTCACTGTGTGTATCTGTGTGTGCATGAGTGTTTTTTTTCTCAGCACAAACTGAATGCCATACTAAATTAAAATTATACAGTCAGAGAGAGAAAGTAGCACGCTTTGAAATCTGGTCAGAAAGACGAGGGGAAATATTTGAAAGCGATACAAAAACTGGGAACATCAAACCAACTTCAGCTCATTTAAGCGTGTCTGTGTACCACAACGAAATCCGCGGCCAAGCAGTGCAGCCATGAGGTAAATAAATCTGGTCGCGTCTGTATTTGACAAGCGGTTTCCGCCTCCCCGCTTCATCTGCGCGCAGATTCCAGCGCTGCAGGTTGGAGCTGATCTGTCACAATCTATGAATTATGCAGTCGCGGAGCAGGGATTAGAGGCGATGTTGGGGTGAAGCAGAGGAGTCCGGGCGCCCTCAACTCTTCATCCTTCATCTGATATGCGCTGCGGCTCCACACCTGTTAATAAAACATCTTCCAGCTGGAGTTTGATGACTTCTGCCATGCAGAGGAGGAGACGTTTGTGGAGGAAGCCTTGCATTCTCACAAGTCGTGCTCATTTACACTTTTTGCTGCGTTGTGGGGTTCTGTATGCTTAAAACTAAGCGTCCACTAACAGCCGTAGCATCACAGGAGAGGCCGGAGCGCAGACAACACACAGGCTTTGGCAGGGAAGAGAGTCCCGCCGAGAGCTGAAAGTGGATCTATCGGACATGACAGCGTTTACTTGGACTCATAAGGGCAGCGGTGCTTGAACAAGCCTACTGGCACTGGATGTGACAACATTGAGAGTTTGACCTTTTCGACGTTAGTCCTCTGCTCACGCTGTGCCCATCAGCGGCACTTGTTTGTCAGTAAATGACGACGTGCAGCTCTCGGGCCAACCGAGTCGCGTACTTTGGCTCGCTGAGCAAGCCGAACACTCACAGGGATGACTGGATGTCGCAACGGTAGCGCTGAAGGAGCGCCGAATGAATGTTAAGCTCGCAGTTTTAGAGAGAGAGAGAAAAAAGCTTGACAGCTTTGTGATTGAAAGGAATTTTCCTCCTGCTCACAACATCAAATGATGAGAAATGTAAAAGCAGCCAGTGTGCGGTTCTGATCGAATCAGCAGAAGAAGCGAAAGAAACACTTTTCCAAGTGGAGCCTTGTCCGTTCCTCAACATTTCATGTCCGCAACAAGAATTTTGTGGGTCAGAAATTTGCTTACGTATTGCACATGGAAAAATTTGGCCTGCACATTTGGCTTTTCATGCTGACAATTTGTGTTAAAGCTGTTTAAATGCCTCTCTCCTCGGGAATGATGAGATCCTGCGGGAGGGAGGATCTCCTCCCTGTATAATTTGATACCACTTAAACAACGCACACACACATACGTAAATATATAACCAGTCGCACTATCGGCTTCCTCAGTTCACAGAGTCCCTGCTCCCACAAGAACATCCAAACACATAACAACAAGCATACACACACACACACACAACACATTAAAGTCATCTTATGCCGGCTAATTGTGATACACTGTGGATATAGGAACCAGATGCCATTCCCAAGTCAGTTTTCCAGTGTGGTTTTCCTATCCCTGCCTAACCTCTGCGTCCAGATTCCCCCGACGAGCACCAGCCACTTGTGGTCGTTCGTCCCTGCCCATTTTGCTCTGATTACTCACATCTCTGTCCTCCATTAGCTTCCCGCCTTGAAGAAAAGTTCCCCTGGGGCCCATGCTCGTATGATTGAAGGTTCCCATGCAGAACTAGCAGATGGAGGTGTACATGTTTGCACTGGATGTCCTTCTGTGTATTGGAGCTTTATGCACAATCGAACCAGAGCGTGCTGCAGATTCTAACACCAGCGATTCAGTATAATTGCAATGTCAAAAGGGAACTTTTGCAGTGCGGAGAGCAAATGCTGAGAGCAGCAATGCTGTATTCGTTTCTTTCCAAGCTGCAAAAGAACTCATAGATTTGGAGTAAACTGACTGGTACTTATAAAGCGCTTTTCTACTTCGCTCAAGTGCCTCATACGACATTCACACAAGCACTTTTTTCTACATTAAGTGCGTTCTGTCTGACATTCACACTCCAATGAGCGCATCAAGAACAACTTGGGGTTCAGTGTCTTGCACAAGGATACTTTGAATGACCTGCTCAACCTTTAAAGCTGTAGCCATCCCAGAAGTAAAAGATAAATTAGGAATCTGAAGTATAGCAATTTTATCCCAGCAACTAAACAAAAACGTTGAATTATTGCTTGAAGTCAGTCGGATTAAATTTGAGTCTGACTTTTCGGTTTCAGTCCAGGTTCAGCCCTTTCGAACGCTTCACTGTGGCCCTCCTCCCACTCCCCCCTCCTCACCTGCCCCCTCTTCACCCATCAACACTTGGTGCCCGGAGGATAGCTTCTTAACTTCCCGTGTACACATGTTTATTGATATTGTGCGGCTGTGTGAAAGGAGCGCGCCTGTAAAGAAGAAGTTGTAAAAGCGGTAGTTGTTTGCCTGTGCTCTCGGAGATGCCAGTGCTCCAGGGTGAGATGATTGGATCCATGTGGCCGGTAGTTCAGGCTACAGCAACTGCTGCCAGCCCAGTTGGCCCTGCTTCCACAAAAAGAGGATATTAGCTCAGTTTGATGGATTGAT